TTAGCTTCGATGCGAAGCTGAGAAGGTATTGGTTTTACTAAGATGTGTTTATTTTTTTTTTTTTTTTTTGTGTCTGTTACCACTTTTTCTCAGCTCTCACCGAACGGATTTCTTTCAACGATACGTCAAAAGATCACAAATCGTATCTAGTCGAAGACATTACCCTTACAAATTGAAAAAAATTCCCTCATTCCCCATAAATTGGGGAAACCTCCAAAAAAATTACAAATTTAAAAATCGCTTATTTTCGAAATTTTTTCAATTTTTTTTACTTAAAATTGTAATAACTTTTTTAAAAATAACCAAATCAATACAATTTTTTTTATATAGATGCATGATATCATTACTTTTCATTTGGTATATTTTTTTTGTAAATCTGACACTTAACTTGCCCACAGGGGGAGTTTTAAAATGACAACTTTTTCACAAAAAATTAATTTTTTCAACTTGATTTTTGAAATTGTTCCGGAAGGTCTGACACTTTTATCATGAGAAGTAGTATTTATATATATCTTTCATTCGACATACTGTTTTTTTAAATCGGACCATTTCTCTATATTTGAGGGGGGTTCAAATCTAAAAAATGCATGTAGAAAGTAGAACTTTTTCAACTTAACTTTTGGAAGTGTTCCAGAAAGTCTGACACTGTTATATATATCTTAAATTAAAGCTAATGTAATGTACTTTATTATGCAAAAAATATTTTGGACTTTATTTTGTCTTCACGGTGAAAATAGCTACCAAATGCTATTTTTGTGTGGAAATTCTCGATTTTATTTTTTACATTTTTAACTTTATAATGATATAACTTATTGAAAAGTGTATGGATCAACATAATTTTTTAATAATCTCTTTTTCATTCGACATACTTTATCTGAATCAGAATATTAATAACGAACTAGCAGATCATGTTGCTTTTGGTATATTCCACCAATTTTTTAAAATTAAACACTATCTAAAGATTTGCATCGAAGCGTTTTTTTTGATAGTGATTTTAATCACTGTCAGATATTATTATACTTGATTCAACTATGCTACGTCACCACTGTGCCGCGATCCCCCTGTGCTGGGTTTTTTTTTTTTAATGTTCATGAAAATTCTCAGCTCTCATTGGACCAATTTTGTCAGTTCATGCACCAAAGAACACAATTTTAATCTAGATAACCACTAAAAAAATGAAAAAACCATTAATTCTAAAAATTAAAAAAAATAACTCAAAATTACATTTTTAAAAAATGCCATTTTCCAATATATTTTCTACATTTTTAAATTAATATAAATTATTTTTTAACACTGATCCTAATGTAATTTTATTAGGTCTTTATGAAAAAAAATAAACTTTATTTTGGTATGATTTTTGTGAAAATACAATGAAAAACCTAAGTTTAAGAAAGGTTCAAAAGTAACTATAAACACATGTAAAAAAAATGTTTCAAATAAAATTTTGAAAAAATGATTTCAAGAATCTAGAATTATAATAAAAATTAATTAAATACAAAATGAATTTGTTATTAAGTTTTTCATTTTTAATATGTTAAAATAATGAATTTTGATTCAAAGTCTCGCGTTTAATCAACTTTTTGTTGATTTCTATAGAAGTTTATAATTTAAAAATTTTGAAATTTAAAATTTTTTAACTTACGTTGCTATTTTGTAATTAATATCATTAAATTGAATATTTCATGGGAATTTAGAAAATCGTATTTTTTATATTAATATATGATCGTGAACTTATATAATTAACATTTATAGTAAATTTACAAGAAGAGATCAAAATTTCGTAAAAAATAGTAGTTTTTTTTGTATTATTACAATAATATATCACTTAAATAAAAATCATAGTTATCTATGCAACTCTCGGTGTTTAAATAGATGCTACAATTAAAACAATCAGAACTATATTCCGTATAGTCATATCCTTTATTATTCTATAATATATTAATAATTTGAGCTTATGATTCGTCTGTGATGTGTTTTTGAATTTCATTTCATTTTATATTTTTACATGTGAATACTGGTTTTTATTTTTACTAATTAATAATAATCACAAAAATTTGAGGTGATAGAAAAAATCGTATTGCATATTTAAAATCAGCGTGAAAAATTGGTGTAGGATATTATATTTTGATTATAATGAAAAAGCTAAGTAGATGAGTGTATATATTCATAATTAACAAAACATTATTTTCTAAATATTTTTGCATCAAGCCTTTTAATTTTTATACATGATTGCCATATAAGTAACAAAATTACTATTAATTTATAACTTATTATAATTTCTTCGTAAAAATTACAATATTAAATGATTGAATATAAATTGCATACTAAATGTAATTTCTATAATCAGTATTTATTCATATATTATAATTATAAATCAAAGAATTACTAATTAGGATATGAATAAGGAAATATATGTTTGTGTTACTTTTGGAGTAATCCACCAATTTCTTAAAATCAAGCATTATCTACAGATTTACATCGAAGCGTTTTTTATGATAGTAATTTTAATCAGATATCATCTATACTTGTTCCAATTATACCACGTCAACACTGTGCTACCGTTTTTTTTTACTATTATCCATTTTTTTTTCAATACTAGTAATGATACTATTTGAACAAATATCTTGAGGGTGCTGAAATAAGGCTGATCCCGCACTCCCTACCTATCTCATAACCTTATTATGCTTCTTGAATATAGTAGTATTGACAATGCTATACGCTGCAACTAATGAATAATTTTTACAAATATAAATACATTATGTACTATACGTATGTGTATTTAAAATACAATTAGGGTCCTTAAACATTTTTTTGAGGAAATGAGAAAAAAGTGTCGTTGTAAATCTTCATCGGATAGAATCAATTTATGTCATTGTTTTTATTGTAAAGTAATATTTTTATTTATAATCATCTTATATAAACTTTTACAATTGTATGTGAATATTCTATAAAATACATCATAAAATATTCTATTAATATTATTAACTTTTTACAAGTTCAAAATATTTCCTGTAACTTTTTATAATAAATCATTTTTGTATAATGTATATGTACCTAGGGTCTTACAGACAATTTACTCCTCACGAAAACTTCTACGAGCGTGAACATATAAAGTATCCAAAATTTTATCACAATTATTTAATGTAACAAATTGATCGGATAAAACCGATATTAGTAATATCGAGTGTTTGATACAAAACATTATAATCAAACACATATCAATAAAACCAATGCTTTCTCAATTGAGTATTGAGTCTGAAAAAATACTTGTATTTACTATAAGTTAAATGTACTTTGTGTTTATTAAATTTAATAATTCGTGTTCTTTTTAAATGAATATAGGCAAAGAATTCAATTCGTCCATAGCAAAGACTGTATGCGAAGCATGTGTATATACCAAAGGATCAAGCGTGGATTGTATAAGGTACACGAAAAGAGGAACTGCAATGTGCGCTAAGGCATGCGAAAGACAGAATAAAAATATATTAAGAGTTTCTCCTACTATTGTCTTATTAAAAGATGCATATTGTACCAAAAAAGTACTTAAAGCGGCAGCTTGTGTTTGTGTTTTTAAAGTCATATGTCAAGCTTATAAGCATTACGTTTTCATACATTTTATTCCTAACAAAAACGGCGATGTTGCTATGCAATATTTTGAAACAGGACATCCTTTGAAAGTACCCCTGTAATAGTAGTATTGTTATTTTTTTTGAGAATATACAAACTTTTATTTATTTTTTTTTTTTACTATAATTTTGCACTTGTATATTTAATGTTCTGTTAAATCAATAAAGACAATTTAATTATTAATTATAATGAGTAAATCAAATTTACAACATATGAGGGGTGTTTTTATTCTAAGCGAAACACTAATCTATCTTATCAATCGTGTGTCACCATCTTAAATTTTTGACCTTTTTTTGTGCATTATTCATCTTATTCGCAAAATTAAGGAAATCCATCGGGAAAAGTATTTCCCTCACAGTATTAATGATACATGTATCGACGCTCTGCATCGAATAATGTTGGGGGACCCATGAAAATCACTTGTGCGACACTGGACACCATCTCAAGATAATTGGATATATAATATACATTAGTTCTTATTAATCCTGGTATTAGATTTTGATATTCGTCACAAAATACCAGTAAAAAATATGAAAAATATTTGTAAAATTAATTCATAATACTACATTTTAATTTCGTACATTTTTAAGCCAAACGGAAGTATATGTATTTTTATTAACAGATATCTTTACACAGATGTAACCGGGAAGGATAATAGGGGTTGAAACCCCTATGAAATAATCGTATCATTACAAGGAGCAATTTAAGCAGATAGTTAGAATTTTTAATTTAAAAAATAAAATTTATTTGTTAATTATAACTGACTCTGAATATATGTACAGTCTCTACAGTATTAAGAAAGTGTTTAAGCATCATGGATTGTTGGATTACTTAGAATATTTACAGATAAGCAAAATAGGTTTATAATTGTTATTATGGAGAAATGGCAATCCAACAATAGGATTCTGTTTGTTGAACAAATCAGACAAGAAAAACAATTGATAGCTTTGTATAAATAAATTTTAAATATCATATTAATAAAATTTAAAACGAAATATAAATTTTTATTGTTTTTAGAAAGTATAAATTTAGGTAAATGATAAATAAATTGTTTGAACAAATTAATAAGTAGCTATTCATAGTTTTTATTCTTATTTACATAATTTTATTAAAATGTACTTTAATTGTACCTAACTGTTTTAACATTTCTATTAAACTTTTAACTTACATAATATAATATACACATTTGTCTACTATGGTACACTTTTATACATTGACAGAATTAATACATATTAAATAAAATGAACTATGTAGTTTAAAATTCTTTCAAAAAGTAAAATTAACAATAATTACAATTTATATACATGTAATTTTTTTATAGTCACATATTATCCCCTTAAATATCAATTAAGCATTCTTAAAATGTTTCAAATGTCATTTATTTATTAGTAAATAAAAAAGAATATCTACTTAATACTTGAGATAGTAAAATGTTTTCATAGAATTATTATTTATAATTCAACAAATAAAAATATGACATTTTTATTTTAAAGTAGTCTGTGGGAAGTTTATTATTATTGTACATAAACATGTTTTAATATTTTCTAAAATTGAAAATTGAAAACATGTTCATTTATAAAGTTCCAACTTTGTAATGAGTTATTTAATTAAAAAAAAATAGTAACATTGATATTTCCAAAAATAAATAAATAAATATGTAGTATAATTAAATGTGGTGTTCAGTATTGAAACAAGGTAAGCATTAAATATTACAAAATCAAAAAATAAACAAATATTAGCTTATAAAAATAATAATACACATATTATTGCATTCAATACACAATGAGAATGATTGGAGTACACTTTATAGCATTCACGTTAGAAATAGGAACAGTATGAACCTAGTTAACCAATTAAATTTTTCTATATATCTATATACATGCACATTTTTTATATAAGTAATTTATACATTTCTTTAAATTTACTGAAAAGGAAGACAAATGAACACTTTTTCTCTTCAGTGGAATATACATTAATAATTTTTATGCCACATAAGCATATGTCCGTCTATCTTCTGGCGATCTAGCAAGATATTCTCGTTCAATAAGCCCTTCAATTCTTTTTTTAATTATAACTGGTGAAGGTAAAAATCGACTTTTTAATTGCTCCATTACTTCCATCACAAGTGAATTGTGCTAAAGAAATAAAATTATAATTTCAATTTTAATAGATGAAAATATATATAATTATCACTTACAGTCATCTTTTTACGAGATTTCATTATACGAACTATCGCAGCTTCAATTTCATGTTTTCGGTCTTCATCCACTTTACTTCTAGTTTCTTTTCTCTCTGGTTCAGTGTCACCTTTGGCAGCTACTGTTTGAATCTTTACTCTAAAAACCCCATTAAACAAATAATACTATACATAAATAAATTAACTTTATAGATAAAATAAAATATAAAAAGTGATAAATTAGAGTATACACTATTTGGTAGAGGTATTTTCAAATTAATCATTGGTAAAAAAAAAATAAAAATTGAGGAATTATTTATACAAATAAATACTTATATAACAAAAATATTTATAATAAAACAATTATAAAGCAATATTTTAACTGATTTGATTTTTAAAATAGATCCACAGTCAATAAAACAAAATTTACACAAAATCTAATAAAAATCAAATATTTTTTGTGGATCTGTTTCTATTATCTGTATTATAGATTTAAAATAGTTTGTTTTTACAATTAAATTTTAAACTAAATAAGAAATACGAATCTTTTGTTGTGTTCTCATTAATCAAACTTATGCAATTAAAACTAATTTATATTTAAATAATCTAGTATTACCTGTGTAATTTTGAAGTAAATGAATCGTTAACAGAAAATTCATGATTCATTTCAATTTCTTTACATTTAGGACTTTTTAAAAGAATTCTTTGTGATGGTTTTCCTAATGCTAATGACTGTAATGCCCTAATCAAGTCTTTTTCGGGAATATCTGTTTCACTCTGAATGTCCTATAGATTAAACATGAAAAATTTTTTAGTAATCTTCATATATTTATATTTAACATCCTTTTTTGAAAGTTAATACTTGTGTTAAAAAGGATAGAAAATTTATACATCTCAGAAGAATTGAATTAACTGTGATACCTGAGAATCAAAACTAGACCTAACCAAACTGCACAATGATTGTAAAGTTAAGAAAATTTACCTCAAAAGTAAGCTTTTCGTGAGTATTAAACATCAGTAAAACACACATCTGGTATGTAGACACCTGAATTATATGTTTTCGTTCAGCAGGCTGTGATGAAATATTATTAATAGTTGAAGAAACTGCTGTTCGTTTTGGTTCAAAAAATATAGCATTTAAATCTGCTGAACCCAACTGAGGTTGTAAAGTTAATTGTCTTCCATTGTGTTTACCCAAATAAAACCTTTGAAAAATAAGTGTAAATAACAAACATCAAAATAAAATTAAATAACTATATAATTTATATATTATTCATAATACTATTCAAAATACATCTTACAATCGGAATTCTTCAAAGGCACTTCTAGGAACTAGGGGTATATTGCACTTTGATAGGGAATGAGTGGGCCAAAATCCTGTAGTCAAAACTCTTACAGTAAGATCTACAGATTGTACATTACGCTAAAATTGCATGTACAAATTAAAAAAGTTATTTTTCAAATAAACAATATTAAATATTTATATACATTTTCAGACTTGGTTATATGTTCTTTAAATTCTTCCATGATGGTATTTGATATTGACATATCTTTAAACATTCCTTCTAACTTGGATGTAAATTGGCAGCCACATTCAGTCTATAATAGATATAAAAAAATAAAAACTATATTTCTAATATTTCAAATATTTAATACAATAATTGTATATATTATATGGTGTTATTATTGGTATTCAATACTTTAATTAAAGCCAGATCATGAATAAAACATAATATCCACAACTAATGAAAATTGAAACAATAATTTTTTTGCCAAGTTTTAAGCTTTGTTAAAATATATATTTGTATTTTAAAGAACCAAGGTTTATTTAATTTATTACACAGTTAAAGCAGATGAAAAACAAATCCATAGATTGACAAAGGTTAAAGAAAAACGATCCTACTATTTTCAAAATGTATAAAAAATGATGATAAGAGGGTGCTATATGTTAGTGTGAATGATAAAGTGTTAAAAAGATGGAATGAGTATTTTGAAAAATTACTGAATAAGGAGTATCCAAGAGAGATATTAGAGGAAATCTCATGAAATGAATGACTGGTAAATTTAATTAGTGAGAAAGAGGTACGAGAGGCTATGGCATCAATGAAAAATAATAAAGCAATAGGACCAAATGAATGAAGAGCAAGTAGAAGTATGGAAAATATTAGTTGGTGTTGGCATAAAATTGGGTAGAAGGATCTTTAAAAAAAAAACCTTATTAGAAGGGAAAATGTTAAAAGAATGTAGAAATAGTATTGTAGTGCCAATATTAAAAGGTAAAGGAGACACACAAGAGTGTGAAAATTATATGGCATAAAGCTTATGTCATAGTATGAAAATTTGGAAATAGGTAATAAATAAAAGAATAAGAAGGAAATCATCAGTAACTAAAAACCAGTTCGGTTTTTGCCTGGAAAGTCAATGACAAAGTTATTTTGTGTAAGATATCTAATAGAGAAGTATAGGAAGGAGAAAAAACTTCATAGGGTGTTCATAAATTTGGAGAAGGTGTTTAATAGAATAGCAAAATAAGATTTAAGAAGGCATTAATGAAAAAATTAGTCTTAATAACAAATATTGATGTAATAGAAGATATGTATGAAGGTATTTGTGCTAAGGTAAAAAGTATGTGTGGAGTAACAGAAGATTTCAGTGTAATAGTAGGTGTGCACCAAGGTTCTAATTTAAGACTTTACTATTTTCTATAGTAATGGATGAAATTACTAAGGAAATACAAGAAGAGGTACTATAGTATGTGTTGTTTGCTAATGATAGTGTAAATATGAGAAAATAGTGAGGAAGTTAACCAAAGATTGAGATATAAAGTTTTAAGTTAAAACTGTTCTAGAATAGATTAACGATGAGTTGGAATTGTATAATTCAATTTTTAATTTGTAAACATTTATCTGCACTCTTTCTTCTAGGATGAATAAACTTTCCAGTTAAAAAAATAATAAAAATAAAAATTATCAATATTAATAAACTGAAGTCACAAAAAAAATAATAATAAAAAAAAACGCAAACACAGTATGGACGTGGTATAGTTGGGACAAGTATAAATGATATCTGACAGTGATTAAAATCACTATCATAAGAAACGCTTTGATGCAAATCTGTAGANTAGTGATTAAAATCACTATCAAAAGAAACGCTTTGATGCAAATCTGTAGATAGTGTTTAATTCTAATAAACTGGTACCAAATAAATTGTACAAAAGTAACATCAACTTCTATTTCCTAAATTATATCCTGATTAGAGGTACTTAGATTCAAAAGTATAATATATGAATAAATATTTATTATATCCATTAAATATAGTATGAAATTGATATTTAATAATTTTGTTTTGTAATTTTTATGGACAAATTATAAAAATTATAAAGTAAAGTAATTATAAAGTATTTTATTTTGTTACTTCTATGACAAACATGTATAGACATTAAAAGGCTTGATGCAATACTTCATAAAATTTTTTATTTTTATTTATGAATATAAATACATTGGTCTACAAGGAACTTTCATTGGAATCAAAAATATACTTTTTTAAATCAACTTTTCGAACTATTTTCAAATCTGAAATTAGACTTTATTTATTAATTCTAAAATTGGATATTATTACTCATTATTAAGAAATGTACATATAAAAAAATATTTCATGTTCAACAGTATTTTTACATAAAAATTACATTTTTGTTAAATTCTATGGCCATTTTCCCATAGAAGAAAGGGTGTAGGGACAAATTTTTTTTTTAACATATAGTATACCAGGTGTGTAAATATGAAACCGGAATTTGCCGATAGGTGACACTACCTATTGATACCGTAACCCATTTTCACTTGTATTGTGTCGTGTTGTTTGGGTGACTTATGCGCACGAGTTCCAACTCGTACCAGCGAAAGTTTCATTTAGTAGTGTAGTGAGGCTCGTGTGAAACATGTCGAAGTTTGTGCCAAGAAAGTATGATTTGCGGACAGCGTTGATCTTTTGTTTCCATCTGAAGAAAACTGCATCAGAATCGCATCAAATGCTTGTGGAAGCTTACGGTGAGCATGCTCTGGGAAAGTCACAGTGTTTTGAGTGGTTCAAGAAATTTAAAAGTGGCGATTTCGATGTGAGGGATGCAGAACGTGGTCGACCACCGAAAAAGTTTGAAGATAATGAGTTGCAAGCGTTGTTGGATGAGGATGCAACACAAACCCAAAAACAACTTGCAGATCAATTGAATGTGACCCGGGACGCCGTATCCATTCGTTTGAAAGCCATGGGAAAGATCCAAAAGGTTGGAAAATGGGTTCCACATCAACTGACGGAAAGGCAACGGGAAAACTGACAAACCATTTGCGAAATGCTGATCGCCAGGCACAGAATAAAATCTTTTCTCCATTACATTGTAACTGGCGATGAAAAATGGATATATTTTGAGAATCCTAAGCGACAAAAATCATGGGTAGCTCCAGGAGAACAATCAAAGTCGAGTGCGAGGCCAAATCGCTTTGGAAAGAAAACAATGCTCTGTGTTTGGTGGGATCAGAAGGGTGTTATCTATTATGAGCTTCTTAAACCTGGCGAAACTGTCAACACTGAACGTTACCTACAACAACTATCAAATTTGTTTCAAGCTTTGGAAGACAAACGGCCGGAACTTCAACGACGGCAACACCAGGTGATTTTGCTTTACGACAATACTCCGGCACACACGGCTAAAGTGGTCAAGGAATTAATCGAGGCGTTTGGTTGGGAGACTTTATCGCATGCCGCTTATTCGCCAGACTTGGCTTCTTCAGACTACCATTTATTTGCATCTTTGGGACACGCACTCGCTGAGCAGCGCTTCTCTTCCTACGAAGATGTGCAAAAATAGTTCGACAATTGGTTTGCGTCAAAAGAGCAACAATTCTTCTGGCGTGGAATCCATAAATTGCCCGAAAGATGGGAAAAATGTATAAGTAGCGAAGGGCAATACTTTGAATAGGATGTATAGTATCAGTCTTGTACAATAAACTAGTATTTTATGTCAAATAATTCCGGTTTCATATTTACACACCTGGTATATCATAAGCTTTAATTTAACTAATATTTATAACTCGGAGTATTTCCGGAACATTTTCAAAAGTTACGTAGAAAAAGATCTCAAAAAGAATTAAGAAAAAAATGCAAGAAATTCATTGCCACAGGCAGAATCGAACCTCGTACCTCGAGTGTCAAAGACATGTGTTACCCATCAGCAACTATTTGTCGCATTCGTTGGGTGATAAAATTGGCGATTTAAGCTAATTCAAATTTTCAAGTTACCTTATTCAACTTAAAAGAAGCAAAAAAAATTATAATAAGAAACACTTTGATGCAAATCTGTAGATAGTATTTAATTTTAAGAAATTTTGGAAAGATTTAGCAAAAATTGCAAAAAAAAAATTGCTACAGGCAACTTTACTGAATCGTGAAACGTTCGTCGCTTTCGTTTTTTGATGAAATTAACAATTTAAGCTGACTCAAATGTTAAAATTAATTTTGTCAACTTAAAAGAAAAAAAAATTGACATAAGTTTAACTGTATATTCTATGTCAAATAGATTTATATAATATTCATCAAAATCAGTGTACTCCCCTTGTAAGGTATTTTAATATAAATCAAAATACATTACTAAGATTTTGAATACATAAATAGCATATTTTTGAATATAGTTGCCATTTTCACCATAAAAACGATCTATAATTCGAAATTTTTTTTTTCATTGTAAAGTATATTCCATAAGCTTTAATTTATGATATATATAAATGTGTCAATACTTCTGAAAATTTTCAAACATTAAGTTGAAAAAGTACTACTTTTTACTCGTATTTTTAAATATTTAAACCTCTTTTATAAAAAGGATAATGATCCAATTTAAAAAAAAGTATGTCAAATAAAAAAAGTAAACATAAAGTGTATATGAAAAAAAAATTGTATTAATTCATAGATTTTTCAAAAAGTTATAGTAATTTAAAGTTAAAAATGTAAAGTATAAAATGGAGAATTTTAACACAAAAATAGCATACGGTAGTCATTATCACCGTAAAGACAAAATAAAGTCCAAAATTTTTTTTTTTCATAATAAAGTATATTACATTACATTTAATTTAAAATATATATAAAAGTGTCAGTATTTCCGAAACACTTTCAAAAGTTAAGTTGAAAAAGTTGTCATTTTGAATTCTCCCTTATGAGCAGGAAAATGGTCAAATTTATAAAAAAAAAATACATATATTGATTTGGTCATTTTTAAAAGTTATGGCAGTTTTATGTAAAAAAATTAAAAAAATTTCGAAAATTAGTAATTTATAAATTTGTAACTTTTTTGGAGATTTAAAATCTTCTATAATTCCAAATAAAAGTGTAAGGACTCACAACAAATATACATTTTTTAAGCAATTTATAATATCTTACTTTAAGTTTTGAGATCATATTTTTTTCATTGTCATTGCTGATGGACTTGTTCAAAAGTAATCTTTTAGCTAAATGTTGTTTATAATACCTCTCAAATACATCTTTTTCTTGGAGAAAACGAAATATTACCATAGCTTTATCTAATACTAACTCAACATCAATTTCAGTCAGCTGAAAATTTAGTTGCTTAAATGAACTTCAAAGAAAGTATTTAATAAAAAAGTATCAAACAACAATTACCCCTCGTACACCTTTTTTTAACTTTTCATCGATAAACAGTGAAAGATATTCAGGTGATTTAGAATTTAGGTTAAAAAAATATTCAAAATCAGCAGCTATCATTTGTTTGAACATTTTATCATTACTAAATGAGTTGACCAGAAAACCAGTAAATCTATCTTTTAAATCTAATAAACTCTGCAAACATATATGAAGAAATTTAAATTATGCTTTAAATTTATAATAAGAAAAGTAGATTATGAAAAACTTTTTCACACCTGTATATAATTAACTGCATTTGAATTTATATCTTCTTCTTGAACCAATGATTTACCAAGTTCACGTAAATATTGACTGACACAATCTGACATAGTTTTTAAACCATCTGGCACACGACTTAATAGTTTATACATACATGCTAAATCATCATTTTTGTTGTTTTTGACCATGTAAACAACACCTGAATTTTCCATCTAATTGTCATATGATATTAATTAATATAACTGAAATTATTTATTGTAACTAAAACAGATTATTAATATATTTATGAGGGTACAGTAGATAACCACTTCCAGAATCTGGAGGTAGCTAGCAGTGTCATCTAGTGTTAAAAGTGGTAAAACTTTGTTGTGTGAGTAATGAGTTAGTCAAGAAGTGTATTTATGTCATAGTGTTTAATTTACGTTTTTATTTCTTAATATTTTAACACATTTTTTGTATATGAATAATATTACTATTATATATATTGAAAATAATATGTTAATTTATTTATTATAATAACCTAAAACAGGGAAAACTGTTATATTCCTGTTACCTATTGATTTACCAAATGTATTCACTATGTTTTCCACAAAATAGATTTTTTGAATTTGATACTTTTCCATGTCATTAACTCAATTTACAATTTTTTCAAATTATTTTTAAGATATTAATTACTGAAAATATATTTATCTGCAGTTGAATATATTGATAAATGAAAGGCAAATGGTCAAACTAGTCAAAAGCTTTTGTATAAGAGAACACAAAAATAAATTGTATTCACTTGCAAAATAATACAAACCAAATATCAACTAATTAATAAGTCAGAGAAAACATAAAAAAAAAGAATTATTCTATCAATGCAGAATTTTAAGTTAACTCTAATATGAAGGGCAAAAAAATTTTTTTATAAGTCAGTTAACAGAACTTTATATAAATAATTTTAATTAGTTTATTATTCTGCCTCAAAATTTATAGTTACCATTTAATTACATTTTAAAATTCACTATTATTAGACTTATAATAATCATAAAAAAATACAAATATTTGTAATAACAAAGAATGTTTGTTGAATAAAAATAGTAATATATATTTTTAAATAAAAATGTTAAGAAAACATGCTTGCTAAAACAAGCTTAAAAAGACAATATTCATGATTTTTAATTATTCAATTTATATATGAATTGATTTGGTCAATAATCTCAACAATCAAGGAATTTTGTCATTAAAAACAAAAAATTCATATACAGGCTGATTCAATTATCATGAACCACTTAATTAATCGAAAAATAAAAATAAAAATAATATTAATAATTTCTTTATCTGTTTCTTTTAGTTCAATTTTTCAATCATAAAGTTTTTTTATGTTTATCTCTTGTACTTTAAAAATGTGCCAACATTGATTTATTAAATGGTAACACATTTAATTAACTAGCTTATTTAATAGATAATGATCTATTTAAGAAAATTACTTGTCAATAACAACTTTTGAACCAGTTTTTCATAATTTATTAACAATTTAAAGTAATTATTGGAGATTAAGATCGGATGCTGCTACTTTTATAACTAAATATTTTCCACCCTTACTCTTCCTCTAAGCTAGGTATAAATAAGTCAATAAATTCCGAAAAACTGGTCCAAAAGTTGTTATTGACGACCAGTCATTTTCTTAAGTAGGTCATTATCTATCTAAATAAACTAGTTAATTAGGTGTGAGAAAAATTAAATTCAAAGAAATTGATAGTAAAATTATAACCATTATTTTTATTTTTCGATTAATTATGAGGTTCATGATAAGTGAATCACTCTGTACATTATCTATATATGTATTTTGTTATAATACGACTAAACCAAATTATTCCATAATAAATAAAGTATTTTATAGGGAAATCTCTTAATGATATCTTACTTCGACAATTGTTTTCATATTCCTCTTAATAAGTTCCTGTTCAATGACTTCCACTATGCGAGATTCAGTTGATTCGTCAAGATAATGTTTTGCTCGATCAGCTTCTTCTATTATTCTTGATTCAACTTTTCTAATATAAATAGAAGCACTATTTTCATCCAGAAACTTTTGACTTTCCAACTAATTACAAACATAAAAATTTTTAATTTAATAAACAATTCTAGATTATTTAAAAGTAGAAAAAAGAATAAAAAAATAAAGAAACTATAATCAATAAATTTTAAGAATTTATTTTATCATGATACTCGAGTATACAATTATGAACATAATATTATTTATACATCAAAACTTTAATTTTTTTAATTTTTATTGAATTATTTTAAGTATAGAAATAAATAAATGCATGTCATTAGTAAAATATAGTGATTATCATTTATATAAAGAATAGGCTCATTTCTATAAATATGATTCTTAATACTTTTGGTCTTATAATTTAGTATAAAATAAAAATATTTGAAGTTCGCTAAAATTGTATGAAATGTTCAAGTTACATATCTTAAAAAAAATTCACTATACTTATAGGACATGATAACACATTTTCTAAAAATACCTTATAAAATTCTGCAGATTGTTCAAGAAAAGGTTTTTCAAAATCTTCTTCATATACAGTACGTGTTTGAATTCCTAAAATCATTAACATTTGACATGCATTTTTAATAGAAATCCTATCAACAACTTCACCCTTCCTCTCTAACTTTATTAAATTTAAAAGTGTTGTGCGAAGATGATCGCGAATATATCCATACCGAACAATCTACAAAAATTAATTTACAACATATTAAAAAAAAAAATAATAATAAAATTCTGAAATGATATTACCAAATCTCGAAATAATATAAGACCTAAATTATAAACACTATCAACTTCATTGTGTTTAACATATACACGATCCATATACATCAATATATCACGTATCATAACCATTGATGTTTGATGGTCATTCCAAGCTACATTAAGTACTTGTAAAAAATTATTATTTAGAGATCTTAATACATCTTCTCTCACCTAAAAATTAATAATTTAAATTTAATTGAAAAACAAGTAAACTCATCTTGTACAAACTTTATTTTCCAAATGGTTTGTTACTACTTCTTTCATTCCAGTATATAATCGTTCACCATGTTTTAATAATACCATAGTATAAGCATTCCGGTATAGTTCTTCAAAACTAAGGCCTGAATTATTTTTTTTTTGAATTTCTTGAATAGCATTTTTAAGTAAAAGCCAAATGCTATCAATTAACTTTTCATCCATGGTCATCTAAATTTAATTTAAAATGTACTAATAACTATTACTAAGTAGTGAATTATTAACATTCAGATACAATCAAAGAATTTGAGAATATACATAAATTTAAGCAAGAGATATTATCCCTTACTTAAACATTATTTTGTTCAAACAGATTATATTTAACTTACAGGACAAAGTGTTAAAATATTAAATTACATTTAAACTATTTTAAAAAACTTTTATCAATAGTTATGTAAGAAAGACAAAATAACCAAATTTTTATAAATATAATAGCTTTTTTTTTATAAAATCTTATTAACGTTAGTGATGTTTCTTTAACATTGATCTGTCATAAGTACATTATTCACTACAATTAAAAATGCACACATAATAAAAATCTTATCAAGTTTGATATAAAATGTATTAGTTCTTCATTTTTCTAATAAAATTTTATTTAGCTGACTTAAAAATTATGTACTATGGTTAACAATAAATTAATAAATAGTATACAATAAAAACATTTCTAGATGTACAGACATAATTAAAACATTAAGTAAATTTTAATAAAAATTAAGCGAGTGATTCTCGCAATTATAGAAATTAAATATACTTACGGGGAAAGCTTTGATACGCAAGTTTGTGCGTTTTTTTGGTACACCACTATTCATCATCTTAAAATGGACGCTCCAGTTCGATATGAAAATAATTTTTAAGTATTCCTCCTGACACGGTACAGTATTTCTTTCAGACACACATCACGTTATCAATCTATATGAAAGTGTATCTGAATCATAAGTACATGGTGGCCTAGTGGTAAGGTTTGTGTCTACGACGTCTTAGGTTGCGGGTTCTAATCCCGTACCGTAATACTTGGTACTACTAATTGTACCACATTGATAAAAGTCATAAAAATTTAGTAGTTGGTGCGATTTTGGAAAATTGAAGTAACAAAAAAAACTTAAAAATGCTTATCAGAGATATTTCAAGCCGTTCGAGTAAAACAATATCTTACAGGAATGACGCTACTATCTCATGGTAGAGGTTTTTACTATCAAATTTATAGTTATGTCCTTTTTCTTTAAAATAGCCAATTGATTCATGTTTTTTATTTGCAATATTATACTCTATTTTATTTAGCTTCTTTAGTGTATATTTAAATATTTTAGCACAAAAATAATTTTTTTTTTTAAATGTATAGAAATACTCGAGAAAGTTGAGAACAAAAAACTTATGTGATAATAATTGTACGCATGCGTACTTTAATAACAATTATCATTATTTTAATACTTTAAGTAAGGAGGATTCATAAGCAGTAAACGATCATCTATATTCTTTTGATCCAGTTGCTTAAATTACTTGAGACCTCCATGACATTAGGTCAACTAAATTTTAGATTTAGAAATATTTGAATAAACAAAAAAAATACTTTTAAAAATAGTTATTCGTTACAAAACTATAAATTTCGTTTGAACGTAAGAGTTTTAAAATAAGTTATAATTATAGTTCATTATGAAATTATAAGCTTTATTTATATTAGGTTATATTATAATTTCCCATTTTTTAAAATANTTTAAAAGAGTTTTAAAATAAGTTATAATTATAGTTCATTATGAAATTATAAGCTTTATTTATATTAGGTTATATTATAATTTCCCATTTTTTAAAATAAATTATAAAAAAATCATGTAGTATCATAATATAACAGCATTAGACACCTTGTTATTTGCTTTGAATGTCATATTATTGACTAAGATACAAATTTTTCTTTATAAAAAAATAATATATAAACGAGATGATTTTTAAGTTAAATTTGTAAAATGCATTTGCTTATAAATTAAGAATTAAATAAAACGAAGAAAGATTGAATAATAAAGTATTATATTTAAAATACATGTTAATTTACTCTTTGTCTCCTTCAGGCGGTGGGAGTGGCAACAATCCTGCTGTTAAAAAAAAATTCTAACTTTATTTTATTATCATGGTGAAAACGGGCATAAAAATTAATAAAAAAATAAGATTTTTGTAAAAAATATTCTTTTTTATATTTTTAATTTTATAATGCTATAAATTTTTCAAAAATATATGGATCAATACAATTTTTTATGATAAATACTATTTATAGACCTTTTTCATTCGACATGCTTTTTTATTTTTTAAATATAACCATTTCCCATTATCAAAACCAATTATCTTAAATTAAAGCTAATGTAATATACTTTTTTATGGAAAAAAAAATTTTCTGACTTTATTTTGTCTTTATGTTGAAAACAAACATCAAAGTTAATAAAAAAAATATGATTTTTGTAACAAAAATCATTTTTATATTTTATTTTTATGAATCTATAACTTTTTGAAGAATGTGTGGATCATTATATTTTTTTAAAAATAAGTACTGTTTATATTTATTTATATATTGAACTTATAAATCATAAGACTTTATATTGTTTTCATTGTAAGAATATTTATTACTATGTTCTTACCACTTATATTATACACGATTTATTTCAATTTACTTAATTCGTAATAGATAATTAGTATAGAGCAAGATGCTGATGTGACAATTCTACTCGTCTGTCGCCCAGAGCTACTGACGTCGAGCTAACAAAGGACAGTTGTATTTGAGTGGTCGTTATAGACATAGTTTTCAATACTATTACTTTCGTCTTATTTATAACGTAACTTATTTTATTCAACGACCTGTCTATTGCCAATTGTCATCATAGCCAACCAACTCCGTCTCACTTGGATATACGTACTAACCAACTGTACTAGGATTCAGGTCAGACGGATTGTACATTATGTATAACTTATATTTACTGAACATCAAAAATATAACTTTACTTTGTCGTTAACATAAAACAATAGTCTAACATTATTTAATAATCTATCCCCTGTAACTAAGGTCCACGATTGCCTGTGTCTCCTTCGGGTAATTAAAACTCATTTGAGGAGATAGGGACGATATTTGGGCAGACGTCGGGTAGCTTCCGATTCTTGGTTTTGACCAAGATCCTCAAGTATTAAACTAGCCCCTAACATCATGGTGAAAACGGACATCAATGTTAATGAAAAAAAGGTAGCACAGTGAGGTCGCGGCACAGTATGGACGTGGCATAGTTAGTACAAGTATAGATGATATCTGACAGTGATTAAAATAACTATCATAAGAAACGCTTCGATGCAAATCTATAGATAGTGTATAATTTTAAGAAATTGGTAGATTATTTCCAAAGAAACAATAATTCTTATTCCCTTAATTTTATCCCGATTAGTTATTTGATTTATAATTACAACATATGAATAAAAAATAATTATAATAGTTAAATTTAGTATGAAATTGATATTCAATAATTTTATATTGTGATTTTTACGGAGATATTATAAAAATGATAAAGTAGTTGTATATATCTTTACTTTTTACGCGTATAAAAATTTAAAGGGCTTGATGCAATACTTTTCAATAAAAAATGTTTGTTACTTATAACAAAGTTTTATAAACTGGACTACAAAGAACGTTCATCAGAAACAAAAATATACTTTTCTAAATCAACTTTTCGCGATGTTTTCAAATGTGCAATTAGACTTTTTCTATCATTTCTAAGTTTTAATATTATTACTTATCATTAAAAAATAAGTATTTACATATAAAAAAAAAATAATTAAGAACACAAAAAAATTGTTTTAAATTAATTTTGATTATTAATATGTTAAAAATAAGAAAAATGACATATTTAACCTATTTTTTTAATCCTTTAAAGTTGATTTTTGTGAAAGTTTATAGTAAAAAAAAATAAATTTATTGCCATAATTTTTAGCTCGATTTGCAAGTTTGAAATTGACATAATTAAATAGAAAATTTTATGAGAATTAAAAAAATTGTATTGTTAGGATTAATATGCAGTCAGGGTTTGATAATTACTATTTATAGTAAATTTATCAGAAAAATTCAATATTTTTTTGCATTTTTATCGTAATAGATAACTTAAATAGAAATATAGTAATAATTTCCTAGTAACTTTTGGTGTTTAAAAAGATTCTACAATTGAAATATGAACTGAATTAATATTAATTATTTACTTTAACTAAAATAACTAATAAAAAAAAAGTTTTTAAAAAGATCTAAAAATCTATTGTTAATTCAGGAGAAACTAACAATAATTTTGTTTAGAAATAATTTAAATAGCAACATGTTACCGAAAAATTTGGAATATTATAGTCTAGTAGTAGCACACACAAATAGAGTAAAAGAATCATTAAATTACTAAGTAAAATAATAAAATTTTGTAATTGAAACCTATCATATCGAACTTGATTCGTCAATATATACTTTGATAATATGAGAAATGAATGCATTTTAATTGTTTGTATGGAAAGAACATGGGAAAAGTAACTGTTTAATTGATAAATTCGATTTTTTTTTTCAATTTTTGAGGGTAATATCTTCAACTAGGTACGAAATGTAATCATTTGACGTTTCGTTGAAAAAAGTAGGTCAAGTTAAAGCAGAGAAAATAAATGATAGTCACAAAAAAATACCTTCTCAGCTTGCATCGAAGCTAAAAACTAAAATATAGTAATGCAATTTTAATTTGAATAAGAAATTTCTTCTGGCGAAGGGCGACTATAGTGATGGGATCCTTGATCTTTATTGAATTTAAATGAGATAAAAATCAAAGGAGTTGAAAATTTATTCTAACTTAAAAAGAATTAATAAAAAAATGCAAAAAATTCCATGCCATAGACGGTTTGGAACCTTATATCCCAAGCGCGTAAAACACAAGTTTTACTAACTCGGCAACCGTAAGTTATTCCGTCGAATGAAATGAATTCAAAAAAATTTATATAAGTTTAACTTTCTATGCTATATCAATTTAATTTATATAATATTTATAAAAATCAGTGTACTCCCTTTATCAGGTATTTTAAAATAAAATAAAATACAAAACCTAAAATTTTAACACAAAATAGCATATTTTTGAATACTGGTAGTCATTTTCACCATGAAGACGACAAATCCAGAGGTCAAATTTTTTTTTTCAAATTAAAGTATATTACATAAGCTTTAATTTAAGATATATATATATAAAAGTGTCAGTATATCCGGAACATTTTCAAAAATTAAGTTGGAAAAGTTGTCATTTTGAATCCTCCCTCGTGAGCAGGTAAATGGTCAAATTTATATATAAAAAAAAACATATATTGATTTGGTCATTTTTAAAAAAAGTTTTGTCAGTTTTAAGTAAAAAAAATGAAAAAATGTCGAAAATTAGCGATTTATAAATTTGTAACTTTTTTGGAGATTTGCCCCATTTATGGGTAAAGAGGGAAAATTATTCAATTTTTGAGGGTAATGTCTTCGACTAGATAAGATTTGTGATCTTTTGATGTATTGTTCATCAAAATCGGTCCAACGAGAGCTGAGATTGAGCGTTCACAGACACAAAAAAAAAAAATACATCATAGTAAAATTAATACCTTCTTAGCTTCGCATCGAAGCTAAAATATGATATTTGTAAAAAAATTCTTTTTTATATTTTAACTTTATAAAGCTATAACTATTTAAAAATGTATGGATCATTATATTTTTTTAAAGATAAGTACTATTTATATTTATATATATATATAATAAATATATATATTTGGATTGAAGCGTATATATATTTTGGTATTGATATGAATAAATTAATGTAAAAACTTGACAGTTATAAAATTAAATTATATATTTAATGTTAAGTACCTATTTATTACAAAATATAATTTCGTTAATATACTCTAAAACGCTTATAATAAAATTTAATAAGTTATTATGTATAAATTAAATAATGCAGCAAGCATATAATCTTCATAAAATTTAATAACAAATTTTATCTGAAATATTTATTTGATTAATTTAATGGACATGTAAAAAATAATAATAATAATACAAATAAAAAATAGTAATAATACATTCAAGATTAATTTTAATAATAGATTTCAGTCTTAGTAGGAGTAAAGCGTTTTTAAGAACTATGTTACTTAAAAAAAATTGCTTGGAAAATTAATACTACAATTGTATGCATGAAATTTTGATTTATTTACATGGTGAACGACTTATGTTGTGCATATGAAGATCATCATTGTGAAAATTATTTCCTGATCTATTATTTCCATTACATTCTAAATTTGCAGTTTCACACCGTCCATCTCTAACAACAGCTTTCATTTTTAATATTTGTAACCGCTTCATAAATCTATCAGCTTCAGTGGATACACTTGGATCAGCCTTACGCATTGGAGTAGAAGTTATAGGAATTGATCTATCATTATTACCTTTATAAATGAAAAAAAAAACATTAAAATTATAAAATGCTTTCAAATCAAAAATATCTATTACCATTTGGTTCAACTAAACAACTTTTTAAATTATCCTCAATAGCAGATAATTTGCGATGAATGTAATCTTGGAAATATTTAGTAGTTTTAGAAATGTATGGGTCAATATCAACGTTAGGGTGTTTTATTTTAAATCTATGCAACTTTTGAATGCCCTAATTCATCAAAAATAATATTAATATACATATTTTAAAAAGTTATGAATTTAATTTAAGTGTTCTTACTTCGTCAGTATTTTCAGGTTGCCCAATAATATGAAATATTTCTGTGAGTTCTTCATGTGGTGTTTGTTGTCTACGTTTACTACTTTCTGGTTTAGGTTCATTGTTTAAGTGCTAAATAAAAATTTGTATAAGATTAAAAAATATAAAATTTTGATAAAATTGACACTAAAAAGATTTATCAGGAATAACACTTTTTTAGTTTATTAGAAAAAAAATAACTAATTTTTTTAAATTTGTGAAAAATATTAAAAAATAATGGTTTTAAAAAAATGGTTATCAAGATAACTATAATTTAGTGTATATATATAAAAAAATCAAAAGAAAAAGTAATGCAAAATATTCAGTAGATCAAAAGTTATTAAATTTGTAAAACATGATGGACTACTCTGAATATCCATTTCTACAATCTTTTTAACTTGTTTCAAAAGTAATTTTTAGAGAAATATTTACTGTTTTTAGATTGTAACTATATTAGAATTATAGTTACAACTGGGAGAGCTGATTAAAATCACTATCAAAAATAAACGCTTCGATGCAAATCTTTAGATAGTGTTTAATTTAAAAAAAATTGATGTTTTATTCCAAAAGCTACTTGATCTGCTGGTTCCTTATTAATATCTCGATTAAGATAAAGTATGTCGAATGAAAAAAGGTTTATTAAAAAATATTATTTCTCATAAAAAAATTGTGTGGATCCATAAACTTTTCAATAAGTTATAGCATTATAAAGTTAAATATAATATAAATAATAAAATCGAAAATTTTCACACAAAAATAGCATTCGGTAGCCGTTTTCACCATGAAGACAAGTCCAGAGGTCAAATTTTTTTTTTTCAAATTAAAGTACATTACATTAGCTTTAATTTAAGATATATATAAAAGTGTCAGACCTTCCGGAACATTTTCAAAAGTTAAGTTGAAAAAGTTAATTTTTTGTGAAAAAGTTGTCATTTTAAATCCCCCCCTGTGGGCAGCAAAAAGGTCAAATTTATAAAAAAAATATACCAATAATAAGTAAAGACATTAAGCATCTATATAAAAAAAAAATATATTGGTATGTTCATTTTTTAAAAAAGTTACGGCAGTTTTTAGTAAAAAAAATTGAAAAAATTTCGAAAATTAGTGATTTTTAAATTTGTAATTTTTTTGGAGGTTTCCCCCATTTACGGGGAACGAGGGAAATTTTTTCAATTTTTAAGGGTAATGTCTTCGACTAGATACGATTTGTGATCTTTTGACGTATCGTTGAAAGAAATCCGTTCGGTGAGAGCTGAGAAAAAGTGGTAACAGACACAAAAAAAAANAAATCCGTTCGGTGAGAGCTGAGAAAAAGTGGTAACAGACACAATAAAAAAAAAATAAAAAAACACATCATAGTAAAACCAATACCTTCTCAGCTTCGCATCGAAGCTAAAAACTATATTTCTAGTGAATGTTTTTTTTTTAATTGTTAATCAATTGAACGACTATGCGATTCTAAAATTTAAATTAAAATGTATTACCCTTAAAAGTTTATGAATATATATAACCATTTCAGATTCTTTAGGAAATTCTGGACTTTGTAAACATTTAAGAACCTTATCACTATGAGTTTTAACCATTGTGTGAAGAACAGTTTTACAAGTCCTTAATGGTGTATCAGATTGTTGTTTTTTCCAATATTTAGAATCAAATTCCTAAATATTACAAATAAAAAATAGAGAATAAATGATAATTTTATATAATATTAAATATAACACTATACCTTAAGGAATTTGTGAATATGAGTTAAAACTCTATCATAACTTAATTCATCTCCCCACTCTTGGAAATCTTTAACTATTTTCCATATACATTTCATTACTAATTCTTTATAATGAGAAGTTGAATTTTGAGAAAATTTAACAATGTCATACAACATTTCCATCAATGCACTATATACATATAAATACATTTAAAAATATATATCAGTATACAATTGAAAAAAAAAAGCTATTACCAAGTAACAGGAGTATGAGCTGATTTTTCCAAAACACTCATAATGAGACTATTCACACATTTTCCAAAAAGGTGAGTATCTGCATTATTTTCTGAGCTTTTAGTGCTCAAAAGATATAGCAATTTTGAAAGTAAATCTCGCACTATTTGTTCATTCAAAATTAAGGTAAACTCTTGGTATTTATACAACTAAAATTCACACAAAAAATATGTGTAAATCTAAAATTATTCATATTAAATTTTGAAGTAAATATAAAATATAAAATAAATTACATTTAGACACAAGTTAAATAAATTTCTATATCCAACAGTAACATCCATATCATGGGATTCAGAAAGATTATCAAATTGTTTGATAATGGCATAAAAAAGGGATAGCACCTTTCCACCTTCTAAAAATTGTGATCTAGTCTAAACATTAATAAAAAAGAGTAATATTAAAAAGATTAATTAATAATTTTTTGCTAATTTCATAAATGTATATAAATAATTCATACGTCAGATATTAAAATTAATTTATCAAGATTTTGCATAGCACTTTTAGCATATTCTATATTAGATGATGAAGCTTGTTGAATAAGATTTTGAATAGGATCATTTGATGGTAAAATTGTTAATTTTGGACTTTTAGTAATTGTAGCAGTACTGTAAGGACTAACATTTACAGAAGGTTTGGTTGGCGACTTATCAGAAATTCTATAGTATGAAAATGTATTATTGTTACATTTCAATCAAATTAAAAAGTTTATTTATTACTGAGATTGAGTATTAAGTGTTCTTTTATAAAAGTCTTCATTGGGATTTGAATTCCAATTATAAGGTTTCAATTTTAATTTTGGTTTAGTAATTTCTTCTGCTTCTAATTCTTGAAGGAACTTTTCATCCAAAGCATAACGAGTTATTGGAGGATTTTCTGAACCCTTTTGGGGTTGTCTAGACATAAAAAAAGTTATTTATCAATAGTTTTAGATATTTCAGCTAAACGATTTTCAACTATAATATTATTAATCATATATTGAATGTATATACTAACTCTGAAATTGGAACAACATACGCTATGCTGTTGCGACGACTTTTGTAATGCTGAAACGAGCCATTAGAATGCTCAAGTAAAGGTGAAGCAAAATTAATTCCACATGCAGTTTCATGCATTTGAGTTTCTTTAACAATTGGACTAATCATATCAGCATTAGCAATTAGACTTATGTTAGAAATGCTATGATGTATTTCAGGAGATTTGGATTTTATTATATTGGAATTTGACTCAGGAGAAAGAGAACTTTTATGGGATTTATTGTAATTAAGGAGAATTGTTGTGTCTTCGTAAAAATTAAGTGGTTTTGAAGCAGCTGCAGTTGAGACTTTGTAAATTGTTTCATTACTATGATAAAAAAAGCAACATGCAAAAAGCTTAAATAAGCATTTTAAAATCTATCAAAGAAATATTTTATTATATAAAAAATTTTCAGGCTGATTTTTTTAACACTAGTCACTCATTTCTCTTAAAATAATAATTTTTTTGTGAATTTTTTTTGGCTTTTATTCGTTACATATGTATTTTCATTTGTATAACCATTTAAGTCAAAATAAATATTATGTATTAATTAATACTTCTTTATGAAATGAAAAATTTATTATAGTAAATATAAGTTATAGAGCGCCTCATTAATCCTATTTAGTTTTATTGAATTGTTTAAATTTAGATACTGCAGAAATGAGACATAATAAATTACAAAATATTTTGTTGTATCCTATGAAATATCAATTATTCTACCCAAACTTAGCTATTACATTTTTAATGTTTAATTTATTCATCAATTGTATGTTAAAGTTAGCTAATATAATGTAGATCTATTTGTAAAAAGTTTATATGAACATAAAAGTAATCTATGTATTTTAAAGCCATTTAAATGTTATGATTATTGTTATTTATTGTTGTTGATTTGTTTATTGATACTTTAATATTTAGTTGTAATGAAATATATAAAATAAAATAACTAGTGTGCATCAAATTTACTGATTTGAGTACAGTTTAGAATACAATCATAATCATGAATACAGATTAAGTAATATAGAAGTTTAACAAAAAATTAACTATAAACTTATCTTGTTTATTAAACCATGCATATGATAGTTTTAATTACATGCAAGAAGTTCAGTTTTAAAATTAATGTAGTAATTTATAATTACCTTAATTTCATTTGTAGTGATGAAGTGTTGTCCGCTGTAGCTACATTTCCAGATCTGTATGAAACACTATTTTCTGACTTCAAAGGAGAGTTATTAGAATATCTGAGAGGATTTTGATTATGGTTCGATTCAAGAGAGACATTAAATGTAGTATTACGTTCTTCATCAGCAGAAATATAGTCATCATCTACATTCTCATTTGTTTGTGGTATTTGTTGAATAGGCGGTGCAACTTGTTTAATTGTTGGTTGAACAGTAGCTACAGGAACAACTCTATTTTTAGAAGCCCTTTTAAGACGTTCTCTTAGTAGACCCATGTCTTTTTCAGATATCTAATTTAATTTAGAATGTAAAAAAGGTAAATTAATAAATTATTGTTATTGTATTTTGTAGAAAAAAATGTAAATCACTTTAATTCATGAATAATGCAGAAGGTTAATGAAATTATATATATATATATAATCATATTCTAAATCGATAAATTTTTAAAATTAGATGATTGACCATCAAGTTTTATGTATCATACTTCAATTAAAATTAATAAATATTTTTTGTTGAATATTAGATTTATAAATAAGTATGAAAAATCATTAGAGAGATGGTGTGGCCGAGTTAGTAATGCGGCAATGCTTGACACGCAATGTCTCGGGTTTGAAACTCGGTCACAGAGAGTTTAATTTCTAAGAAAAAAGTTTGATAAATGGAGTTACTATCTCTTACTCCAGTGATGGACTAACCACATCCCAGATTATCAATGGTTAAGAAACTTTCTCCTTTTGGGGAGGCTGCTATGGCCTTAATGGAATTAAAAAAGCGATAAAAAGAAAATTCAATGATCCAGACAATTATTAAGTTTTTTTATTCTTACATTGCCAACAAATTTGAATAAAGCATCCCCATGTAAAAAGAAAGCTGCAACAAAGAAATTTAGAGCAGCTGTACGAACAGCATTGTCACGATCACCAATACTTTTAGCTATTTCTTTACAAGCAACTGCAACACTAGGTTGACAAATAGAGGTCCCATAATCTTCAATCAATGATGCTAAATGTTCCAAGCATTCTATACAAATTAATACATTATGAAATGACAGTAATTTTAGATTAAATATATAATTTTATTTTAAATAGATTTATTTAAAACTTAAGCTTCTGTAGTAAAAAAGTATGATAATTTAATAATCAAATACACTTTTTAAATACTATACCAGAGCGTTGTCTTGAATTCTTTGATTTTACACCATCCATAATATATTGAAACATTTTTGTGTTAGGATAAATAAAAGTTATTTGTTTTAGAATTGCTCTAACTTTTTCCCTCACAGAATCTTTAGAATCTCCTAACTAAAACAAACAAACAAATAAAAATTTAATCATAATTAAAAAAAAAAAAAAAAAAACAATAATGATGATAAAATGTGGTGAGATGAGGAAGTTACTGCAAACTGTTATTAGATGATAAAGAGAGAAAGTTAAGGATGTGAGACTCAATTAATTGATTTAGGGTTGAGGGGGATGATAATGTAGAGGAAGGAATATTGTATACAGCTGAAGAGAGTTGATNTTAATCTGACAGTGATTAAAATCACTATCATAAAAAACATTTTGATGTAAATCTGTAGATAGTGTTTAATTTTAAAAAAATTGGTGGATTATTCTAAAAGAAAAACTTCTATTTCTTTCATTATTCCTAGATTAGTAGTTCTATGATTTATAAATATAATATATAAATAAATATCTATTATAGCAATACAACGTAATATGAAATTGATATTTAATAATTTAGTATTGTAATTTTTACAAAGAAATTAAAAGAAAAAATATAAAGTATTAGTTACTTTTATGGAAAACGTGAATAACATTTGAAGAGTTTGATACAAAACTTTTTAAAAGATAATTTGTTGTTAATTATGAATAAATGTTCTATAAGGAATTTTCATCAGAGTCAAAAATATACTTTTCTAAACCCATTTTCCGTGGCAATTTCAAATATGCAATTAGATTTTTTTCTATCATCACTCATTTTTGGTATTATTAATAATTAGTTAAAAACGATTAATATATAAAAAAATATAGGTTAAAATGAAATTCAAAAACACAACAGCGGACGAAATCCTAGTTGAAACTATATTATAGGATATAAATATACAAAATATAGTTCTAAACATTTCAAATGTAGTATTTATTTATACACCAAGAGTTATTAAGACTAAGAGTAATGATTACTAAGACTTCTATTTAAATGATTTAATACAAAAAAAAAATAGTGATTTTAACGAAATTTTGAGTTTTCCTTATAAATTTACAATTAATAGTAATTATATAAGTTCCTGATCACATATCAATCTAAAAAATAAATTTTTTATTTAATGATATAAATTTTAAACTTACAAGTTGAGCTAAAATAGTGTTTAAAAGTTCAACATTTTCCAATTATAAACTTTTAAAGGTCAAAAAATTAGTTATAAACATTATTTTGAATTCAAATATTGCACGGATTTTTTTTTACATATTCAAATTTTTTCATGTGATTCTAATAATTAATAATCTCAAAAAAGGGGTGATTGGAAAAATCTATTTTATGACTTGAAGTCAGTGTAAAAATTTAGTTAAGTAAAATATATATTGGTCAATAATCATTAAAAATATTTTATTTTATTGATATATTTCTGTGTAATTTAGTATAAAAAAGAATTTTATACTCCTATTAATTTAATTAAATTTATTTAATTGATATTTATTTATTAATTTATATTTAATTAAAAAAAGGTTTTTTTTTGAAGTGTACATTTATTACAGTAGGGTAATTTTGAGATATTTGTCTGAATTTCTAAAATTAAAGGACTTTTCCTAATATCTGGTATTTATAAGTTCAACAAGATTAAAATTATAATCTTTTAATGTACTGGTCATTAAAATTGGTTAAGTGAGAACTCAGAAAAATTAATGACAGTCACAAAAAAAAAGCATACAGTAAAATATTTAAATATGAATATGAAATTTTTTCTCAAGAGGGATGAACAGTGATGGGATCCTTGATATTTATTGAAGTCAATCAATTCAAATGAAATAAAAATCAAACAAACTTTGAATTTTTTTTCACCTCAAAAAAGAATTAAGAAAAAATGCAAAAAAAAGTTAGTTTGACAAAAGGGGTTTGAACTACTTACCTCAAGAGTATAAAACTGTATTATAATATACGCAGCCACCGTGAATTACACCATTAATCAAAAATGATAATTTAAGATGAAAGTTTAAAAATCAAAGCAGCTTTTCTTAACTTTGAGGAGGTAAAATAATCAAAATAAGTATAAATTTTATTTAATGCAAGTCAGATTCATACAAATTTTATAAAAATTGATGGACTCATTACTATGGCGAACCCTTATAAAGTATTTAAAATAAACAAAATAAATATCAAATTTGGACACAATATTAGCATTAAATAAGGCAATCATTTGCACATAGAAGATAAGTCGTCAGGACAAATTTTTATTTTTTATTCTATAGTATGTAACATAAGTTTTAAAGACTCGGTATTTCTGTAACAATTTCAAAAGTTCTACTTATTATATGTATGATTGTAGTTTGGAACGCACTCTGTGAAAGGACAAATTTACAGATTTAAAAAAAAAGTATGTCGGATAAAAAGGATATATACAATGTATTGAGAACCATAAATTTGTGTTGATCCACACATTTTTCAAAAAGTTATAGCAATTTAAAGTTTTAAGCTTTAATTTAACATATATTTAATAAACATATGTATAATCGAAACATTTTCAAAAGTTAAGTTGAAAAAAATAAATTTTATATAAAGTTGCTATTTTGAATCCCTTATTGTGGACAGGTAAAGGGTCACATTTTTAATAATACTATATCCAATAAAAGCGAATTACTTAGGGTTTCAATATGAAAAAAAATTATTTTTATTTGTTCATTTTTCAATAAATTATGGCAATTTTTAGAAAAAAAAAAAAAATATTTCGATTTCAAAAATCGTAATTTTTTGGGGGATTTTCACCATTAACATTAATTTTAATACACAGCTTTAACTGGAAGTACAATAATTTAATTTATTTTTATTTATTATAAGTAGGGCCATCAATAACTTACGCTTTCAGCTATGACATATAAATATTTATTGAGTATAATTATTGTAATTAAGAAAATTAAATAAAATATAAAAAGGAGCTTTATTGACACATAATGGTTTTTCTTTGAAAAAAAATAGGTCATCAACATAACCTTAAAAATACACATTCTAAGAAAAATTTAATTATAAAATTTATTTATATATCAAATGTAATCAAACAATTAAAACATTTACATAAAGCAGGCCAATTAACCTGCAAACCTATATATACGAGGTGTTTTCAGAAAATAACGGAAATTTTCGTTTTTTGAAGAAAAAATAATAATTTTTTTGTCTACATTAATGTTGTCGCCTTTAAAAAAAGTCTCCATTAGATATTATGCACTTGTGCCAACCCTTCTTCCAATCCTCGAAAACATTTCTCAAATTCAAACTTTGGGATAGTGTTCAGATCATTCAGTAATGCGTTTGTAATGTCATCTATGCTTGTTAAACGACAGCCCTTTAAGGTTCTCATTATTTTTTGAAATAGAAAAAAGTCATATGAAACCATGTGTGGCGAATATGAAGGCTAAGGCATCAATACAGTATTGTTTTTGGCCAAAAATGTGCGAACAAGAAATGAAGTGTGAGCAGGTGCATTATCATGGTGCAAAAGTTATGAATTGTTTTGCCACAAAACTGGGCGTTTTTTTTGGATTGCTTCACGCAAAAAGTGTTGAACTTATAGGTAGTACTATTAATTGACTGTTTGACCTTAGGCAAGAAATCATGATGCACTACGCCATTAAAATCGAAAAACACATAGCATAACCTTCACTTCCAATCACTTATTTAGTTTGCTTACCCTGCATTTTCGTTTTATATGACATAATTATTTTACTTAAGAATTTAAAATTGCTTACTAAAGTTTTATAAATCTTATACTTTACTAATATAGTAGTTTATTTAATACCTTTTCAGCTATTTACTACATAGCAAATATTTTGTGTTACTTTTTTTAAAAATAATTTTTATAGTTTTGGGATAGCATTAAAAGCATTAAAAGCATATTTAGAAATTTCAAATTTTAATCTATTTTTAGCTTTGATATGAAGCTGAGAAGTATTAATATTACCATGATGTGTTTATTTATTTTTATTTTTTTGTGTCTGTCCTTATAAATTATAGTATTGTAGGAGACCTTAGGTATTTCCTAAAATGACAAAAATTTTTATATTTATATTGTATACCTGTACTGCTTTTTCAGATTAAATTTGAGCATGTAAAACTTAAAATTCATGAATTTATTATTTTAATTTCCTTCTACAAGTAGAAATCTAAATAAAAAATTCTATAAAGAAATAAAAGCTTGGATAAATGTGATAGTATACCATTTTTCAGTCAGATTATATCCAAATAACATATTTGTTTTTAGCTTACCATATTTTTACTTTTATACAATTTTTTTGGGGCATACACGCGTACTTTATTAATTATTTAAGTTTTTTAAATATTTACTTTAGTTACTAGATATGGTACAAAACTTGAAGCTTCTGTGTCATGAAGAGTGTACTTATGAGACATTAATATCACAAATGTATTTTGTAAATAATCAAGACCTTTTAAAAGTACAGATGGATTTGTATCGAAAAATCTTAGTGTCATCCATTTAAGAATTAGATCAAGATTATTCATCAAGGCCTGATTATTGTCATCAGTTGTTGTTAAATCCTAAAAGATTATGAATTTATTATTAGAAATATCCTGCTATGTTTTGATACTCAACTTAAATACATCATAGTTAAAAAGGAATTACCTCAGTAAGAACTTCAATAGCTTTTAAATGGTATCTGAAATCTGAATGAAACATATTTGTAATTAACACTTTATTAATACCAGCAGTTATCATTTGATCACGAAGTTGTTCTACAAATTCTTCACGTGGTGCAGTGAAGTTCCATTTTAAAGACTAAAGCATGATAAACATTGATCGAAAATGTTTTATTTAATTACTTTAATTAAGAAAAACTATATTAAAATAATTATAATATAAGGTTGAAATTTATATAATATTAAATAATAATAATGAAAAATATCTAATCACAAATTAAAAAAGTATTAAGTTATAATTTAACTACCTTTAATTTATGTTCATCAATATCTCGCTGGTGTTTCAAATTGTTTTGAAGAAATAATGGTCCATTATCAACTTCTTCTTTTTTTCTGTTTGTAGCAGTATTTACACGAGTAGGAATAATATTTTCCTAAAATAGTATAACACAAAATATTAACTTGAAAATCAGATGAAAATTTAACATAAGTCAAAATATTTACTTTGTTAACTTTAGTAGCTGCTTTTGGAGGTGGAATTTTAGATCCCCCAGATTTCACTGGAGGTCCATTTGAAATACTTGATTTAATAACTTTTGGTTTCTCAATTGGTGTTAGAGGTAAATTTGGCCTTTCTTTATCTAACTTTTCTCTAACAAATTTTACTGACATAGGCTACAAAAAATTATAAGTATAAATATATTTAATAAATTATTTTTTTTTAATTTTATAAAAATACTTTTAACTTATCACAAGCACCAAACATAGTAGTATAACCTAAATGCATCATAAATCCAATAACAGCTTTTTCAGAAGCATTTCGAACACTGGCATTTCTATCCTCTAAACTTATATACAAAGGTAATAATAAAACCTTTAGCTCATCAGCAGGAATTGTTTTAGAAGGAACTAAAATTATATGCATAAAATAAATGAAAAAAATTATTTTGGGTTTCAATATAAATAATTCAATTAAAAAAAAATTACTTATTGGTAATTTTTCTCCGAGCCATGTTAATAATTCTGAGCGTAACGTAACAGAGTTATTTTTCAAAGCATCTAAAAGAATGTCTCCACCAAAAAATTCTCGATATCCACAAATATCTGCCACAGTGTTCATACATTGTTTTGCACTTTGGCATTTAAAAGTCTACATAATTAATCATTTAATAAAAAAGTTTAACTTTAGAAGAATAAATATTAATAAAAATGAAATATATATTTAGCTTACTTTTGGATCCCCTAAAGCAGTCAGTATACCTGGTAAATATCCTTTAATATAATTTTTAAAAGACGACCCCATTGCTTTAGCAATTATTTCAACCAAATTTATAGCATTGGAGGCAAGACGAGCATTTGAATCGGTTATTCTGTTAAAAATATAATGTTTAATAATTTTTATAATATAAATATAATTTTTAAATTATCAACATGTATAATAAGAACTATCATAATACCTATCTTGTAATGTTTTTCTTGCTTCACCTAAATCACTTGTAATAAATCTAGCTTCAATAACTATAGTCTGAAGTTTATTCAAAGCATCTAAACGAACCTAAACAACCATATTAAAAAGTAAAAAAAAATCTAATATTAAATGGAAAATACTGATAAATGACCTTCCAATCTTTGTCTGATAATTCACTGATTAATGAATCGGTTATTTGTGATGTTATATGTACTCTAGGTACAATGTCACGTAAATTGATTTCGTATACAGGTTTCTCATCATCATTTCCAACATCAAGAGATTCTGTTGATCCTTCTATTTTTTTCCCTCGATATGGTTTAGGAGGAACCTCACCTTGATGCTTAAATAAGAAAATATCAACCAAAAATTCATATAATTAAAATAAAATACATAAATTGTCACGACACACTATCTTGCTCCTCACCTTTTTTAAATATTATAATATTAAAAAAAAATAATATAACACAACTGGTTTTCTCTGGTTATTGACCAAACAAAATTTTATTTGTTATATTCTTCATTAAATGGTATAATTATATATAATTATAAGTTCCCATACGACTTTCAAAAGTTACCCCTAAAAATTACTTTAAAGAAAAAAGATTTTTTACAAGTAACTTCAAATTTATCATAGTTCACAAAAATAAATATATTTTTCAGTACATTATTATGAAAAAATTAATGGTAATATTCTAAATAAATCATGCTGTGTGTAACAATTTAATTGTTTCCTTGCTTTTGCATAGTAAAAAAGAATAAACATACTTTTTCAAATTCTGCATTTATTTGTTGTACTAAAGTAGGTTTTTCATTTTCAAAAAAAAGACTTAATTGAGGACCCATATATAAATACATAACACCTAAAAGAGAAATAACAGCCAATCGAACTTGTGGATTTGATGCACCAACAGCCTTTTTAAGATTTTGCATGACAGATTTAGGTTCTATACTGTAAACAATAATAAAATAGTAAATATATTTTCACAAATATACATAATTATTTATATAAATATTATCACATTTTTTTATATAGATTTTAAGTTATAAATTAAGGAAAATTAATTACAAAGTAATAAGTCAACTTCAGAATTTAAAATAAAAGAATTATTGATAAAAAATTAATAATTGACAAATAAGTATTTTCTAACTAGTGAAATAACAGCAAAAAGATAATCCGATGTAAAAACTTAATCAAATATCTATACAGAGTAAAAATTATGTTGAAATAAAGATATTTGTTACAAGACTACAAAGCTTGAATAAACATTTTTTCCTTTTGTCAAATTTTTTTGACTTAGTACCATATCATCACCTTAATTATTGTTCTATCATAATACTTCAACCCATATTATTTACTTTATTAAGTAAATAATTTACTTTATACAAGTGTAAGGAATTAAGCTTTTTAATAAATAGTAAATAGTATAGAATTACATTATTTACTATTCAATAGGAATCATCAACAATATTAATATTAACAACTTTTTATTTTTCTCACGTTATTCATTATTTTTGAAAAAACGACATAATCAAAGAAATATTTTTATAAAAATTTTTTTTAGAAATATAATAAATATTAAAAAAGCTGGTAAAACTATTTGTTTAAATATGTAATTTAGTAACACAACTCATTTATTCCTGAATCTTATTAATGAACACTATCTTATACAACAAAACATAACCATCAAATCATATTACTTATAGACTAAACCTATACTAAAACTACAATAATTTACAGTTAAATTTTATTTACTTACTTAACTTCCGATCTGAATTACATGAAATATATACAAAAAAAAAAAAAAAAATAGATTTAAGCCATTAAGTTTAGTAAAATTAAAATTTTAATTACAAAAAAATATCAAGTACAATTATCAAGCAAATACAACTTTCATTGAAATAATTTTTTTGTTATTTTTGAATAAATATTACATTTTAGTACAAATTCAGATAGTTCACAGAAATAATTAATCTAGAAACCAATTACCATTCCAAATAAAAATTTTTTTAATGAGGTTAATTAAGAAAAAAAAAACAGCACCTTAAAATTGAGAATTATAACACAAAAATAGCATATGGTAGTCATTTTCACCATGAAAATAAAATAGAGTCTGAATTTTTTTTTCTCATAATAAAATACTTTACATTAGCTTTAATTTAAGATATATATAAATGGGTCAGTATTTCCGGAACACTATTAAAAGTTAAGTTGAAAAAGTTGTCATTTTGAATTTCCCCTTTTGGACAGGTTAAGTGTCAAATTTATAATAGAAATATACAGAATAATAAGTAAATACCTCATGAATTTATAACAAAAAAATTTATATTGATTTGGTAATTTTTAACAAAGTTATGGCAGTTTTAAATAAAAAAATTGAAAAAATGTCAAAAATTAGCGATTTTTAAAATTGTGATTTTTTTGGAGTTTTATTCCGTTTACAAGGAACAAGGGAAATATTTTTAATTTTTGAGGGTAATGTCTTTGACTAGATAAGATTTGTGATCTTTTTACATATTGTTAAAAGAAATCAGTTCAGTGAGAGCTGAGAAAAAGTAGTAACAGACACACACATAAAAAAAAAAAAAAATTAAAAAAAAAAAAAAACACATCATAGTAAAATTAATACCTTCTAAACTTTGTATCGAAGCTAATATTATAATAAATAAGTTTTAGTATTATTACAGTAATAATAAAATAATTTGAATATTATATTTTTCATTGTAATACTACTTTTAAACTAAGGATTATTTCAATAAATTAAATATAATTTAAAAATAAAGTAATATAAACTTACATAAACCCAAATTCTAAGATAGCACCAGATAACCAATTAAGGGCATCAATTTGTACTTTAGGATTTTTTTGAACAGTAAAAGCATACTCTAATACTGCATTAGAAATAAAATCTAATCTAGATGCTTCAGCCATAGAAGTCAAAACTTGACCTGCTAAATAACCATTTTTTGTATCACCTAATAATGAAGAAACTTCTTGCAAACAACATTCCATGCTAGTACTAAAAAAATTCGTTTTTAAAGTAAATATCAAATATATAGACTATTACATTAATCTAAAGTATTACAAAAATGGTATAAGTCAACCAAATTTTTGAGAAAAATTAATTTGATTGTAAAATTAATATTTTAAATTTAACAATTTTTTTGGTAATAATAATAATACTAAAATATACTATATTATGAAACTACATCATTAAATTTTCAATATTTACAGTGATCTTAGTTCTTATGGGGTTAAACTAGTTTAAATGGCTCTTCTAAGAAATTATTAAAATTAGTTTATATCAGTTTTGCTTTACTTCACAGAAATGTTACAAAATAAATGAATCTAATTTTGTTACCTAGTAATTGGAAACTTTTCAATAATTTTTTTTAAACATTCCAATCTTAATTTTTGAATTTGGATATTATTATCTTTTATTCCGGGTTTTTTATTCAGTAATTTTATAAGAACTTGACTACTAACTGTCAACGTGTCTGTTTGTTCTACAATCTTTAATTTTAAAAATAATTATTTACAACTTTTTAATATGATATAAAAAATAAAGCATGTAGAGTTACTTGAATAAATTCTTGAACATTGGATAAACGTGTTTTCCAGTTTGCATCGGTCATACCATTTATAATTTCTGAAGAGCATATATGTGATGACAATTGTTCCAATTCATCATCTCCTATTTCTCTTTCAGTTTCTACTGTTAGTGTTGTTTTTACTGGTGCACCTTTGCGGTCACCTAATAATTAAAAATCTTATTATAAATAATTGAAATAGTAAAATTCACAATAATTTATAACCAAATTCAAAATAGTTAAATTTATTTTTATTTGGTGAGTAATTGATATGTTTATAATTTAAAAATTATTTGTATAATTCAGTATTATTATATGCAGTTTTTAATTAATTAAGAGAGTAAAATAATTCAATATTGATAAATAAAAATTATTTATTAATTTAAACATTACCTGGGCCACTCATTGGTTTATTTGTTTTAGTAACAGTTGAGATAGCAGATTTACTAGAGCCACTTACAACCGCACGAGATTTTTTAACAACTGGATTTTTTGCAGTTACAACTGCAGACTTTTTTTCAATTATTTTAGAAGATACAGGAAGTGGTTTTACAGATTCTTTAATAAAAACTGGCTTGGCTATAATAACAGCTTTTTCTGAAGCTTCTTTAATCTAAAAATTATGGGTAGATTTTTATCATCATTTTAAAATGTAATAATAATTTTTAAATAACTTTGGCTAGTTTGATGGCATCAACTCCAGTTAAGAATGGAAGAATATTTTTTTCAGAAACAACTTTCCATGCAGTTCCTAATGCTTCAGCAGAATTATCTCTTACAGTTGGATCTACAATATACAATTATAAATAAATAAATATTACAATGATGAATTTATGAATGTAAAAATATTAAATATCCATTAAAAAAAAAACCCAACCCTCACAGTGGGGTCGCGCCATAGTTTGAACAAGTATAAATGATATCTATCAGAGATTAAAATCATAAAAAATATTTAGTGTTTAATTTTTAGAACAAATTATTGTAAAAGCACATCAACTCTTGTTTCCTTAATTATATCCTGATTATATATTTAATGGTTTATAAATATAATACATTAATAATTATAGTAATTATGAAATTGATATTTAATAATTTAACATTGTAATATTTATGGGGAAATTACAAAAAACTATAAGGTTGTTGTAAATAGAATGCTTTTTTTTAATATTAGTCATTTGATTTCTCTTAAAATAATAGTTAAATCAAAAAATTCTTTATGGTATTTTTTAATTTTGTATTTTTTTCAATTTATTAATTATTAAGTTTTATTTTAATTTATGCTTTATATCTTATAAGAGTTCTTTTTTAAGGCAACATACATATTTAACTAGATAATAAAATAAAAAATGAAATAAGTAAGATAAATGAAGTAAGAGTAATAAATTTGTAAATTTAAGTTTATTATGGGTAGGAATATGCACAAAATGGATTGTTAGATCTAAGTTTATGGGTACTTCTTGCCTACCTTTCAAATAACTAGAATCTTATATTCAATATGTCAAAAAATTATATACCCAAATACATGTACAACAAATCAAATGATCAATTTAGTTTGAACAACATTGGAAAATTAATGTTACAGAAAATATAAAAACTTATATATTACAGATTGAACAAGTTTATTAATCAGTAGAACATATGGTAAAAGCATAGATGCATCAGATTAAAATATTTGTACAATGTATTAAGTAATTGTAGGCACATCAATTGTTGGGCTATAGATGATAAAATGGAAATCAAATATGTATTTACAATTAAATTGAGTGATAATGGATTAAATGGATTTAGTTTGCCAACAATTTAAATAGTACTTACAGAACAAAATTAGGCATTAAACGCTATATCTGTAATAGATGATCAAATTTCATTATCTAGCTTTACACAAAAAACAAATATGTACTTAGCTTATTTCTACATAGTGTTAATGCTTATACTAACACTCGCAATTTATAAAGCTACATATTTTAAATAAAGACATTTTATTCAATTAATTTTTTTAAGAATATATGGAAATAATAAAATTAATGTATATAAGAAAAATATTATTTTGGATATTTAAAAAAAAAAACAAAATTTTCATTACCTTAATTTTTTTTTAACATAATATAAAATAATGTTTGTTTTTACCTGATTCATTTAATGTTTTTATCAATGCTGATGAGAAAATTTTCAAGTACTTTTTATTCAAAATATTTGGAGTACACTTAGTGAAACAACGAGCCAAAAATGCAACGGACTCAGCTTTAACAGATGGATTTTTATTTTCTATTGCTGTTAAAATATCTTCATGTATGGACTCTAAAGTCATCTAAAACAGTAGTCACAAATAAACTAGTATGATTAGTTTAATATTACTAGTTTAAAATTCATTTTATTAGAATTGAAATAAAATTTGAAAATGATAAATTAATCATTTTTCTGAAATCTCTTGAGCTATACTAGTTAGAATAAATATTCAACAATCAATATAACTTGAATAAGCAATTGAGAAAAATCATAGGAAATTGACTATTCATTAATTAAAATTACTTATTAACTTACACTCAAATAAATGGCATCTACAGCATCTCTCAATGGTAGAACTACATTTTGCTTTTTTTCCTTAAATTTTTCAAGTAATGCTGGTAAACAAGCAGAAGCATAGGTTTCAAATCGTTTTTTTAAACCAATTGCTAACATAGCCATACATTTAGAAGCTATTCCAACTATTATTACATTACTATCCTTGGTTATAATCTAAAAATTACAAAATGAATAATAAGTTAAATATTTAAGTTCACAAAGACAAAAACATTTACTTTTTTTAACGCTCTAACTAAATCACCATATTCTCCATTTTCTAATTTAGGAGATTTTGATAATATTTCTTCAAGCAAGTCAATTGCTTCTTTACGCTCTTGCCATTTTTTTGCTTCAATTTTTTCATAAAAATCTTTATTTAGTTGGCAAAGTATATTTACAGGATCAAGATGTTCTTCAGAATCATCAACTTCATCATTAGTTACTTCAATAACGACTTCTAGTTAATAATATTAGATAAATTATTACAGATATATACAGAGTGATTGGTTTATCATAAGCCACTTGATTATTTACAAAATATAATAAAATATTGGAAAACAATTTTTTTAGTTGTTTATAGAGGATGGTCAAAATCTGGTAAAACACTCATTTCTTCAGAAACTATTGAACATTTTTCATTTTTGTTAAGAGAAAAGTATCAGGTTCAGAAAACTCTAAAAAACATAGTTAAATAATTTTTTTATTTACTCCTTCATGGATAAAAATTCTTATTTATAGTTTTCTTAAATGGGTACCCTATTTTTAACTTTATTATATAACTGAAATAAAAATACAAAAAAACTTTGTTCTTACAATTTTTCTTATGCCATAAATTATTTATTATAATAGTTATCAAAAAAAATTGTCCATCTCTATCATATTATAAAGTTAAAAATAGGGATATAAATTATAATAATTTTATAAATTTACAAATTCATTTAAGAAAATTATAAATAAGGATATTTATTCCTGAAGGGGAAATTAAAAAAATTATTTATGTATATTATTGTAGAGTTTTTTGAACCTGATATTTTTTTCTCTTTACAAAAATTAAAAGTTCTCAATATTTTCTGAAAAATGAGTATCTTACCATATTTTGATTTATCTGTATTTCATGATTTCATTTCTTTAATTAATCTTTCTTTAATTTCTTTAACATTAATTACTTTTTAGGGTCATCTCTTATAACTTAAAGGGATGTCAACATTATTACTTTAAATGGAAACATACATATCAAATTGGCTTATAAAATAGGAAATTGTTTAGTAAAAAAATGACTGGTTCATGTAAACTATTAAAACATTAATTCAGAAATTTTAACTATTTTTAAATATATATTGTAGGTGAAGTGAGATTTATGTTATACTTATCATTACTCTGCTAGTTTTTTCCCACTCTTTATTTAAAATGTTATTAAACTTCTTAAGTACATTTTCAAAAATTGTTTTTTTGATTAAATGATTTTCTATTTTATAAGTTAATTAAATATGTAAGTTACATTTAAAAAAAAATTAAATTGATATCCCTTTAAGTTATAAGGGATGATCATAAAAATAATTATTAGCTCATTAATCAAGAATGATATGTAATTGAGAAATCAAAAATTATTTTTCCATAGTTGTATTTATTTTGTGAGTAACCTAGTGGTTAATGATAAATCGATTACATTATATAAACCAATTTAAAATTATACGATGTTATACAATATATTAGATACGTGATACAAGTTAAATTTTATTATTAAAATATAGTTTAAAAACACTGAAAAACATGCTTTTAAAGCATATCGAATTAAAAAGTTAAAAATAATTTTTAAAATAAGCTTAAAACAATAATGAACGAAAAATATTAGTATTATTGTGAAAAAAAGAGTGGGGTCTTTGGGCCCTATTTATCGTATATTGAGCGCCCGACGCTTTTTTTACAATAATATTAGTATTTTTCGTTCATTATTGTTTTAAGCTTATTTTAAATATTATTTTAAACTTTTTAGTTCGATATGCTTTAAAAGCGTGTTTTTTAATTTTTTTAAACTATATTTATTTTTCACTTTTTAATTTTTTATGACATCACTGTTACAGTCACGGAGTGTTTATTGTAGTGATGGGCATTTTCGAATATTTTAAACTATCGAATAGTATAAAAACTATTCGAATATTTTTACTATTCGAATATTATTTGAATGACTATCGAATAGTTCCATAGTTACTATTCGATATTTCCCATCACTAGTTTATTGCCAATTATTAATATCAGAGATACAATTTCTGTATTGCCATTAAGTGTGTTTATAAACTTACAATAATGCGTCTTATTACCATTGATAATAAAAACTATATACCTGCGAATCTTGTCATAAAAAACCAATTAGCTACCTGTATTTATAATCCCTAATGTATTATATATGTATATTAACTCAAAAAAATTTGATTCTTTAAATGGTTATATCTAATAATAAACACTAAAAATTTGTTTATATACAGGATGGCCAACCACTCACTGACAACTTAAATAACTTTTGATCCAGTTAATATTTTTAGCTGATTTTTTTTTTTAAATAATAGTTATAAGTTAGGTCTATAGCTATACCTCAATAATTAATTTTTTTACATTTTATTAAAAATATTAATTATTTTTAAATTTTAAATAAAATGTAAAAAAAAAATCTAAGATAGCTATTTTGTAGAGTAGAATTTAAGAAAAATTTTAGTAAAAAAATATCTTATTAATATTCAATAGTAAATATTCTGTAGCGTTTTGAAGTTTGTGAAAATTTGAATTTTCATGTATTATTTTACGGTATTAAACATTGAAATACGTATTGAGTAAAGGACAGAAGAAAACGCTATCTTTTCATGATTACTATAATTTGGAGGTGTATAAATTTTTCCATGAAAATGACTTATACTTTTGAATGAGAGTGATAAGTAATAATTGCCTTATCTAATTTCTTATCATGATATTAATGCCAAGTTAGTAATGTATACACAGTAATACATAATACATGAAAATTCAAAATTTCACAAAGTTCAAAACGCTACAGAATATTTACTACTCAATATTAATAAGATATTTTTTTACTAAAATTTTTCTTAAATTCTACTCTACAAAAAGCTATCTTAAATTTTTTTTTTACATTTTATTTAAAATTTAAAAATAATTAATATTTTTAATAAAATGTAAAAAAATTAATTATTGAGATATAGCTATAGACCTAACGTATAACTATTATTTAAAAAAAAAAATCAGCTAAAAATATTAACTGGATCAAAAGTTATTTAAGTTGTCAGTGAGTGGTGGGCCACCCTGTATATATGTAATATTGATGATACGCATGCGAATACGAAAATCTAAAATAAAACTATACAGGAATAGTGTTGCTGGTGTGTGGTGAGCGGGTGAATGAGTCACAACAGTCTAGTCTCAAGGCCATAGACAATGGGATATGCGAGAAAATCACGTGGCACGTGGAGAGTTACGAACATACAAATATACAAACATACATACAAGTGAAACTAATATAAGTGTGTTATATATAAAGAATTATCAGTTATAAGAATAATTATATAATAAATATTTATATGAAATTATATAATACCTCCAGTAGAATCCATAGGTTTTTCCATTTTGGCTACTTGTTCTTGTTGAGAGCGTAAATATCGGGTTGGATGAGGTTTTTCATTATTAATTTTTTCAAATTCTGCCTCTAACTCTTGTATCTAAAAAAATGCATTTATTATAATGGTTTAATTTATTTAGTTAAATATATAACTAGCTAATAACAATATAAATATCAAGTGGAAATATTACTTCAAAAAATATTATGTGTAGGTAAAAAATTAAATGTAATTAAAAAAAATGTATGATACTTATTATTATTAATATTTTTTGTTAGTTGAATTAAAAAAACAGTAATATATTAGTTTACAATATATGGAATTACTTAGCTTAAATACAAAATTTGATATTAATTTAAATAAATTATTATTACTTGAACAGGTTTAAGATTAGCCAAATTTGTTCTAATAGGAATAGGTCCAATCCATAAGTATAATTCAATAGCCAATAGTTTTGCTTCATCTCTTATACTTTTATCACGGTCTTCTAACAATGACTGTAATTTTTTTAGCAATGGTTTAATATTAAGTATTTTGATTCCAAATTCCCTGAAATTATTTAAATTATAATCTGTTATTATAAATTATTAATATTAAAATACTTAATGATATACATTTAAAACTTTAAAATTTAATCTTTAAAAAACGTAAACAATATACAAAGAGGAGATAAATTATAAGTTATATTCTCTAATTAACCAAAAATATATAATGTCATGTAGAGAGACAGTGTGGTTAAGTTGGTAACGAGGCAAAGTTTGATATGCATTGTCTCAGGTTATTTTACAAGTGGCTTCATTTGCCGAGAGATCAGTTTGGTAATTGGAGTCGCCATCTCTTTCTCAAGAGACGGATTAACCACACATATTCAAGTATCAATGGTTAAGAAAACCTTCCCTTAGGAAGTCGCTATGGCCCTTAATGGGACTAAAAATAAAAAATAAATAAAAATATATTGTGATATTAAAAATTTACAAAACTATTAATTTATATTTAAATAGTTAATCATAATAATGTGAGCTTCTTATTTTCTGAACTTTATGATCTTAAATAAAATAAAATCTTAATACAGTGAAACCTTCTTTTAACAATCCTCTAATTGCGGAAAACTTTTTTAAACAGAAAAATTCTATGGCTTGGCTTTTTTTAAGATAACAGTTTAACTACTCTTAATAGAAAATATGTTGGTCCACAGTGTTTCCTATGAAAGGAGGTTTTTCGATAGTAGAATTATATTCATCTCTACTTAAATAATAAATATTATTACTCAATCCTTCAATCAATTGTAATATTACATTGTAGTTTAAATTTAATTGCTTGTATTTATATTTCAAGTTTTATGAACATAGTAGATAAAAACATATATTAATATAATTTTTATCAACTATCAATTTTAACAAATAAGAAAAACAAGATTTTAATATGAATCTTATAAGAAATCTAATAATTAAAGTAATTATGTTTTACTTGATAGCAAGAGTAATAGCTTTGATACAAGTTGAAACAATTTTAGGAAATTTATGAACCAATCCTTTGATAAGTTCTTCAATTACAATATCTTGTTTCTCAATTTCTATATACATAAGAGTTATTTGTATTGCAATGTCTTTGGTTTTAGATCTTGGAGCACCAAAACATTTAGTTATTAGTCCTGTCATAACATCTCCAACAGTTCTGTAACAAAAGTTAATAAAATAGGTGCCAACTTAACTTTTTATAATTAAAAAAAGTTTGGAATGAAAATAAAACTTACCGTCCAGCAGTTCCAGAATTTTCTACAAAAACTAATGTTGCTTCAAGACCTTTTTCTTGAGCAACAGCATTACTGTCAACTACAATTTTTCTTATAATTCCTGTAAATTTATTCCATTCTAGAGATTTCTCATCTAGCTGGCCAAAAACTTTGATAGCTTCTTCGTAACCACTTATTCTAGCTTTCCACAACTTTTTTATGAAAATTCAATAGTTATGAAATAAAAGGCAGAATTATTAAAATGTAAAAAATAGTTACTTTATGAATGCATCTTTCTTCAATTGGTAATATAGTGTAGGAAGTATCTTCATCAGCAGCCATTTTGCCATATATTACATTTTCGAATAAAATTTACTCATGTGTGTGAAGTGACAAATTTCTAATCCATTATCTTCTTATCACCTATGATTTGAGGTAACTTAATTGGTTACGCTTATAAAATTGAAGCTAGTATTCGACTCTATCGTTAGAGGCCGTTATATTATACTACACTTTTAACATGTTTAATTGTGCGCGTGAAGCCGCATGGTTGACCGAACTGTGTTGTTCTTTCAATAAACGAGTAACAGACACTACTAAATTAAATGATTGTTAAAGTAGCAGTGACAACTATTTTTAAAACTAATACTCGCTAGATAGTAACTTGTTGTTGACAGTTGACGGCGGTGGCAATTGGAATTCGCGGTTATCAACATAGCTAATAAGAACAAGGGTGAGACGTTAAAATTGTGGTCATAGAATTTTTTCGGTTCTAAAAATTCTAAAAGTTTTTACACTTTTAGTGTGATAAGCACAAATATTTTTTTTTTACTCATAAGTCTTAGATTTAATTGTATTATATAAAAATTTATAATCATATTTATTTATATTTAACACTTTTATGTAAATAGAAAACCTATAGATTTTTTAATAACTATTATTTGGTAAATAAATTGTATCAAATTGTTATAATTTTATTGAATTATTCTTCTCTACGCAAGTTGTCTTATGCATGTTTATAATATGATCGGGATCGAAGGCTTTAAAGAAATTAAGGTAGCTTCTCCTCGTGGTTGTTCTGACCTTAACCTAAAACAATAACTTTACTCAGTCTTTTTTCATATAGTATCTGATAGCTACTACGAGTAGCTACAGTATGGTTACTAAGTAGCTGAAATGGCGCGACTGCCATAATATTCCCGAGATAATTCAGATATAGACAGTGACCAGCTGCCGTTAAGACCCTAGTGAAACGGCGAAGAGGTTTTGTTAAATACTGGTAAAAAGATAACGGCCCTACAGTAAAGATAGTCGCACATCCGAACAATAGTTAACCAATACGATTACATTGACTGTGATCTCGCTAGTTGGACGATGATGGTCTAACTACAAAGTGAACTTACGTTGGCCGCACAGAAAATACGAGTTCTAGTTTGGAGAGAATAGACTCTTTAACTTTCGTTAAAAGTGACAATTATTTCTAATATCTATAAGTTGGAAATAAACTTAATTTCATCTTAAATAAGGCGGACATTTTTTTAGAGTCTCCTAGAGGTTCGATTTATATCACAGTATCAAGTTAAACATAGTAATTCTAATCTAAGAAAACTAAATTTTAGGTTTATAACCTAAGGAATGATTAATTTAACTACATGTCATTGAGTCAAATATTTTTTCTCTATGCAAAAATTAAAAATTCTCAAATAGTTAAATTTTATTAATTTATTAACTTGAACTTTAATTTGATATACTTAAATATGCCGTCAAATACCTCTAATTTTTTTTAATACAATATTAATTCCAGGGGTGCCATTTAAGGGATAGCAATTTAAGTGTTTACCTTAATTTTCAATGAAAACAGAGGTCCGTCAATTGCACTCTTGCTGATCGCAACTATTTTGAACTAGCCCATTTTTTCTTAAATCCAATTTATATTATGCTAAGAAATGTAGTGAAAATTAGTTTTTAGTCAATGAAAAAGATACTCAATATTTCATATTTAATTTTAATTAAAAAAGTTAAAAACAAGATTTCAAGTCTTTTTTTTTGGACATCATAATCATATACATATTCTTACTTTACCATTGAATACAAAACATTCTTAAATAGCCCTTAAATAAAGAAAAAAGTTCCATAATTATTTTTTAGCTTCGATGCGCAGCTGAGAAGGTGTTAATTTACTATGATGTGTTTTCTTTAAAAATTTTTTTTTTTAGGTTTCTGTTACCACTTTTTTCAGCTCTCACTGAACCGATTTCTTTTAACGATATGTATAAAGATCACAAATCTTATCTAGTCAAAGACATTATCCTCAAAAATTGAAAACATTACCCTTGTTCCTTGTAAACGGAATAAAACTCCAAAAAAATCACAATTTTAAAAATCGCTAATTTTTGACATTTTTTCAATTTTTTTTACTTAAAACTGCCATAACTTTGTTAAAAATTACCAAATCAATATAAATTTTTTTGTTATAAATTCATGAGGTATTTACCTATTATTCTGTATATTTCTATTATAAATTTGACACTTAACCTGTCCAAAAGGGGAAATTCAAAATGACAACTTTTTCAACTTAACTTTTAATAGTGTTCCGGAAATACTAACCCATTAATATATATCTTAAATTAAAGCTAATGTAATATACTTTATGGTGGAAAAAAAAAATTCAGACTATTTTATTTTCATGGTGAAAATGACTACCATATGCTATTTTTGTGTTATAATTCTCGATTTTATATTTCTATAACGTTTTGAAAAATCTATGGATCAATACAATTTTTTTATAAGAAATGCATGTAGAAAAAAAAAAAATTTCAACTTAATTTTTGAAAGTGTTCTGAAAATACTGACACATATATATATATATTAAATTAGGGCATATGTAATATATTTTAATATTAAAAAAAAAAATTGACTTTATATTGTTTTCATAGTAAAAACGGACATCAAAGTTAATAAAAAAAAATATGATTTTTGTAAAAAAATTCTTTTTTATATTTTAACTTTTTAAAGGTATAACTTTTTGAAAAATGTGTGGGCCATTATATTTTTTTTTAAGATAAGTATTATTTACATTTATATATTATTAATATATATATATATATATATATATATATTTATTTATTTATATAATATGTAATATGTAATATTATAGGAGATCATGTAGCTTTTGAAATAATCCACCAATTTTTTAAAATTAAACATTATCTACAGAATTGCATCGAAGCGTTTTTTATGATAGTGATTTTAATCACTTTCAGATTAAATCAAAAACCCA